GAGTTTCGGTTTTCGTCGTATGTGCACCTCATCCTCCTCATTCTGTCCTTCTTCCCCTCCCCATTTGCTATTCTCTCCTCTCTTTTCTTCTGCAGCGACGTATCCTTCTTGTACTCCTCTCCTCCTCCTCCTCCTACTACTACTCCTCCTCCTTCTGATCCTTCTCGTCCTGTTCGGTCAATGCCAATTCCCCAGAGCGGTCGTCGTCACGACACGTGTACTTCAAGAAACGGGGAGCGTTTGTTCGGCGGAAGGTAGGCCCCATTGGGGCTCTCGCTGGGTTGCGTCAGGCTGCCGCAGGAGGAACCGCCCACGGCCGCGACGGGCAGCACCGCCTTCAGGACGAGAAGCAGTTTTCCCCAGCCCTCCTGCGCGGGGTTCGCGTTTTGAGCAGAGCGCTGCGGTCGCACACCCTCCCGCCTCCGTTCCCATCTCTCCCTCCTCCTCCTCCTCCTCCTCCTCCTCCTCCTCCTCCTCCTCCTCCTCCTCCCCCTCCTCCTCCTCCTCCTCCCCTCCTCCTCCTCCTCCTCCTCCTCCTCCTCCTCCTCCTCCTCCTCCTCCTCCTCCTCCTCCTCTCTCCCTCCTACCTTCCTGCTGCCGTGACTCCTGCATCGCCGTTCCACCTCGCCGTCCTGCCGTGGGGGCTCCCTGGGGGGGCTGCGATCTGCGAAGCTGTCGCCAATCTTTACGGAGCTGCCGGGGGGGTCCTGCGGAGCGACGCCCTGTACGCTGCGAGACCGTCGCCACTTTTGAGGGCTGCTGGGGGGGGGCCACCACAGTGACGCCCTGAACGGATTCAAACTAAACCTCGCCATCCTGGGGCTTCGATCTGCGAGCCTGTCGCCATTTTTGAGGACGGCTGGGGGGGCCAGCACGGTGACGCCCTACATGGATTCAGATAAGACCTCGCCATCCCTGGGGTGGTGCGAAATGCGAAACCGTCGCCACGTTTGAGGGCTGCTGGGGGGTCAGCAGAGTGACGCCGTGACGCCCCACATGGATTCAGATTAGACCTCGCCATCCCCGGGGGGCTGCGATCTGCGAAATTGTCGCCACTTTCGAGGGCTGCTGGATGGTCCAGTGGAGTGACGCCCTGAAAGGCTTCAGATTCGACCTCGGCATCCCTGGGGGGCTGCGATCTGCGAAACTGTCGCCACTTTCGAGGGATGCTGGGGGCTAGCATAGTGACGCCCTAAACGGATTCAGGTTCGACCTTGCCATTCCTGGTGGGCTGCGAACTTCAAACCTGTTGCCACTTTCGAGGGCTGATGGGGGGGCCAGCACAGTGGCGCCCTAAGCGGACTCAGATTAGACCTCGCCATACGTAGGGTGGTGGGAACTGCGAAACTGTTGCCACGTTTGAGGGCTGTTGGGGGGCCAGCATGGTGAAGCCCCAAACGGATTTTGCTGAGACCTCGCCATCCCTCGGGTGGTGGGAACTGTGAAATGGTCGCCACTTTCGGGGGCTGTTGGGCCCAGATTGGACCTGTCCATCCCTGTAGGGCTGCGATCTGCGAAATTGTCGCCACTTTCGAGGGCTGCTGGGGGGGCCAGCGGAGTGACGACCCGCCTGGGACAGAGGTTAGACCTCGCCATCCTTGGGGGGTGGGCTAGCTGGGCCTCGCTCGCATCCTGCACTAGTTCTGAAGAGCTCGTCGGTCAGGGCGCCAGGACGACATCGCTGCTCATCAGCGAGCTATTTGTGAAGTCGCCTCCATCCTTTCTTATCCCTTCTCCCTCGTTGTAGTCCTCTTTCTCCTTCACCGTTTCACTGCAGCTGCCGCGTTGACTTTTAGGCGTCCCTTCCGTCCTTATCCTGCCCCTCCTTCTCGCCTCGTTCCTCGTCCTTCTATTGCTGCCCTGGGGGTCGTGCAACGCGCGCGCACCCCATACAACTGATGCAACAAACGGCGGTTCTTGTAGTGCCACCCTTTTCAGTCAATGTGGGCCAACCAGCTACTCTGGTCACTTGGCGCAGGTGGGTTGGGGACGCCGCAGCCTGTTTCGTTTCAGCCTTTGAAGATTGACGCGGCTGGGGGCAAGGAGCCGCGCCAGGCGGGGCGGGTGCAGCTCCTTGCGCCCGCGCGGCAGGAGCGGCCCTTCGCCCGAGTGACCTGTGGCTCGGGCCCATGAAAGGGGCCCTGCCCCCCAAGCGCTGGCATTCAGGCTTGGAGTGCCCTCCCCCCCCCCCCGCGGCCCCCCGAGGGCCGCGCAGCAGAGTTCGCCGAGCCACTCTCGCGCGCAGCCGGCCCTCTGCCCACATCGGCGGGTGCCGGGAGCGCCACGGCCCGGCAGTCCCCGGCGGGCAGGCGTGAGGAGCGAGACCTGGGCGAGGCGATCGCTCAGGGCTGCGGAGGGGAGTCCACGGTATTTTGGCTGCCATGGGCCTCCGTGGAGCGTCGGGGAGCCTGGCTGGATGCCTCTCGCGGCGTCGTGGGGCGTCTCATCCTTCTGTCGTGAGGCGGCGGTGGGCGCGTGCTTATCACGCCCGACCTGCGACAGAAGACGGGCATCGGGGAGCTTCTTCCCTTCCCCATCGCTCCTGCCCCTCCCTGTCTGTCCTTGCACCCTCTCGGGGGAGAGAATGGGGCCCTTTTTCCTTTTGTCCTGCTTCGTCAACGCCTCGCTCAACCTCTACTCCTCCTTCCGCCCTTCGAGAGGGGTGGGGGCACAATCAGTGAGACGGTGCTGTGTATGCCCTCTTTGTGCGAGCTGCTCGCGGAAGTTCTGCCACCGTGCCAGCATTCTCGTGTATAGATGGTACATATCTGTAAATAAGTATGTGCATATTCCCTGATGGGCTCGCATTGGGTATGCTGCTGTTTGGGCTGGCCCCAAGGGCCTCCAAGGCAGCCCTGAAGGCCCCCCGTATCCGATTCACCTCGTGCCAGCATGGGGGTCAGGCTCTGTGTTTCCGAGGCTCGAGGGAAGAGACACACTGACCACGGTCGAGATGTCGCCAGATCTCGCCGAGGCCGACTCTGGTCATGACCCCTGCCAGCCGCCGCCGACTCGCGAGGATGATCCACGAGCAGACGCTGACCGAGATGACCGGTGACCAAGATCCACGCGACGTTTCCGCGGCAAGTCAGGGTCACGGTCCTCGCTCTCCTCTCCGTCGCCGCGGCCGGATCAAAACCTCTGGTGGTCAGAGCGCACCCCAGGAGAGGTCCGGCGGCGGGGGCGCGGGTCGGCGGTCGGCGGGGGCGTCGGTCCTACGCCCAGGCCTCCCACGACTGCTTTTTTTTGTGTTGGGTGTTTGTTGCTTTTGTTTGTTTGTTTGTTTGTTTGTTTGTTTGTTTGTTTGTTTGTTTGTTGTTTCTCTCGAGTTTTTTTGGTTGTTGTGTGTGTGTGTGTGTGTGTGTGTGTGTGTATGTGTGTGTGTGTGTGTGTGTGTTTTGGTTGTGTTTTTGTTGATTTGTTTGATTTTTTTGTTTTTTTCCCAGTCCGAGCGCTTTTCCTCGACGCCGCCCTCCGGGGCGGGGCAGAGCGCCCCGCGAGCCGCCCCTCTCGGCCAGAGGCCGCGCCCCCCCTTGCGGGGGAGCGCGCTGCTCTCTCTCTTTTTCTTCTGGCCGGCGGTGCGGAAGCATGGTGCTGTGTTGCCCCGCCTGCCGGGAAGGGCCCGACGGAGCCTATAGAGGAATCGGGGATCGGAGGCGACGATGATAGGGGCGAATAGCCCAGGGGAGAGCAATACATGTATCCAGGGGCGCCGAGGATCCATGTCTTCGACAAGGCTCCCGGGCGACTGCGTGCAATGCCCGCCCCTGGGCCTTTCGCCCGGATCGTCGCCGCCGATGGGAGCCCTGAAGGCCTTGGGCGCTGTGGACACTCGGGGCAAACAACGGTTGCGGAGACGTGCAAGACACGATCGATTGCTCTGCTGTACACCCAGCAGAATCCTGTAGGAACAAATGTGAACTTTCGTGGGCTCTAGATTTTGTTCAAGAAAACCAAGAATCTCGACTAGACCCTGGGCGTTTTCTTGGAGCTTCTCTTCTTCGTAGAACGTTCGTATCTGTGAACCTGGACTACTGGTTAAGAAAACGCGTCGAGTGAAGTCCATTTGCCTAGCCTTATTTTTCTTTAAACTCTGAGCAGGGATGTATCTGCCCCCCTCTCTCTTCAAAGTGCAACAACAGCAGCACGACCCAACTGCAGCCCCCCAGCGCAAACGTCGCTGAGCTTGGCCCTCGCGGCTTGGGCTGCTTGGCATCGCTCGGCCGCGCGCTTCTTTCGGGGGGGCGAGGACCATCGAGGAACATCCCAGATCCTCCTGCGACAGATGCACGCGCGCGACGTCGAGCAGCGCACGGGGAAAGGGCGTGCGAGCGACGGCGAGGCCGTGGCTGGAGGCCTGGGCCGTCGCGAGCCGCCCCTTCGCCAGTGTGCGCAGGCCCCCCCCCCCTCCTCCCCCCCTCCTCCTCCTCCTCCTCCTCCTCCTCCTCCTCCTCCTCCTCCTCCTCCTCTCCTCCCCCAGACCCCCGACGCCGTGCTTCTTCCGCAGCCTCGACCCCCAGAGGCCTTGACCCTCTCCCCGGGACCGGCCCCTCCTCCCCCCGCGTCGCTCCCTGGCTGGCCCCCGAGGCCCGGCGGGGGGGGGCCCCCGGAGAGAGGCCGCAGAACTGGCGGAGGACCTCCCGCCGTGGCTCTCTCGGCGCAGCGCGCGGGGGGGGGGGGCCGGCTGGGCGCGCGGGCCCCCCCTGCCGGCCGCAGCCCCCGGGGCCCGCTCTCGGCCGGGCGGGGCGCCATCGCGCCGCGATGGCGCGCCCGGCGCGGCGCGGGGCCGCGCCGGGCCGCGCGCGCGGGGCGCGCGCCCTGGTGCTGGCCTCCGCGGTCCTGGGCGCGGGCCGCGCCGAGGAGGGGTGTCGTGCTCAATCTGTCCCCCTCCCCACGGGAGGAGAGGTGGGGGGAGGGGGAGGGGCAGGCGGAGGAGGAGGGGGAGGAGGAGGAAGGGGGGGGAGGGGAGGGGGAGGGGGGGGGGGGGGGGGAGGAGGAGG